AATATTCTAATGATTTCTCTTGATTTCCTTTTATGAAAACTGTACCAACTCCTCTTTAATACCGTATTTCCCCAGGGACACAGTTAGTCCAATCTTTAAAGTCCTATGAGTCTGCTTAAATGAAATTTACTGATCTACAGATCCCCAGTTCAATACAGAGTTTTTTTAAAAAATGCTTCTGTGCTCCATTTCTCAGACTCAGAAGATGAGTTATGCCGCAGGCTGAGGATCTGCAAAATCTGCAATTTTGCACCCAAAAACCCCAAAGAATTCCTTTAGGGCCATTAGACAAATATCTTCTGGTCCTCGGATATTTTTTTGAACATTCATTTTGCTGATATGTTCTGAAACCACTTACATTTCAATGAGACAATTCTTTGGTCCCATTCAGCAATAAGAATTGATTCATGTGTGAAAGAGTCCTTAGCTTCTTACGCAATAAACACATATGTAAGTAGTTGCCAGATTTTTCTGCACTGGCCTTACCTTCCCAAGCCTTAACTGTCAATTGGCCCTACTGAAATTAAGGCAGGCTTCCATTTTTGGGTGTGTTTTTCAGGGTTTTGTTGTTGTTATTTTAAGATTCATTCACTCCAACCATCTTCTCAAAAAAACATATTTTTTTAAAAAAAAAAAGGCCAGTCAAACACTAACTTGTCAGAATTCAGTTTCATTCCATTGTCTCACCCAAAACAAAACTGTGATTTTTACTTTTTTTTTTTTTTTTTTTTTTTTTTAAAGTATGACCTTTTAATACTCTCTTTACTCTCTTGCTTTTCTGGATTATTTTAGAATAATTTCTGACCAGCATCATGAAAGTATTTCAAGTGCCTTAGTAAAATTTTAAAACAGCCTTCATGCTGCCTGGAAGTATTTATCCTTTTACCTGTCTGTTGTTGGGTTTTTTTTTTACTAGACTCTGAATTTTCAAGTCAAATACTGCAATGATTTATTTTTCTCCTACATGGACATCGTTGTTATAAAGTAGCTATTACTATCTTAAATTAGGACCCTGATCAAGGCTATGAGTTACTTCTCTCTGGGATTCTCTGAAGAGTTGTTTCAGTGAGGTACCATTTAATATCCAAAATGACTGCCAGACTGTATCATGACTTTTATCCAAAACAAAGGAATAATGAAGCCTTCCATTTCCAGAGGGACAGACATCATCTCCAAATTCAGCAAAAAGTATCCATTAGCTCAGCACGACAATGTCCTGTGGATTGATTCCCAAAACCTTGTAACACTTGTAGTGGGCAAGCACAATGCTGGGGAGGATATAGAGTACTTCCAAGTACAGCTCCAGGGTGTAGCTACACACAAGTGGGTCAGAGAAGCCCTGGTGCCTTGCCCTCAAAGGAAAGCCAAAGGCTCATCATCCCTGCCATGCCCAAGACCACTCTACCAAGCTGAGTTTACAAGCACTTCTTCCTCCCTATCAGTAAGTTCCCCCTGTGATTTTGACAGAACGTAATAGAGGAAAATGCTATCTTCTACGAGACAGTAAAACACAGAGTGTTATTCTTCAAAGATGAAGGTGCCTTAGAAAACAGTGAAGCAAGACAACAGGTACATTTTCTCATCTCTATTAAAAAAAAAAAAAAAAAAAACAGTAACAAAAGCCCCGTCACAAGACACCTTTTGGGAACCAAATGCCAAAAACTGACTTTAAAGATTCCAGTTCCATAGCTAACCATTAATTTATAGGAAACTCTGTAAGTACAAATTACTTAGACAATTTAACTAAGCCATGAAAAGAGAAAAATTGAGCTTTTTATACACTTTAAAAGCAACCAATGATCTCTGATGATACAATTCACACTTGGGAACGTATGCCAGACCAACGCGGCTAGACTGTACAGACTGCATTTTTAAAGCCATTATTAAGTTTATTATATATATGTCTAATATGAACATTACACCTGATAACCTTTCAGATATTTTTCTAGATATATGCACTTCCCACTAATTGTTAAATATACAGGTCAAATTATAAAGGGGACACATCCTAATTATTATCCTACCTTATTAGTTACTGATGATAGAATAGTTTAACCATTTTTTCTTGGGTCAGCATCTCTTGCCCATTTCCGTCAACATATATTATTAGTAGTAAAGGATTTCATTTCTCATGGCCTCTGAAATGTAATGGTTTCTGATATTTTTTCCCCTCTTGCAGTAATACAGAGGAAGAAAATAATGCTAAAATAAAAGCAAGAGATAAAACAATGCAAATACCAGCAAGCACTAAGTCCTGAATTCACATTTCCTCCCAGAAAGGCCTAGTATATGGAAAGCATGAAAGCTGAAATATGGACTAATACACAGATATACCAGTTAATACCATTACATTTTTCTCTGTGGCTGTTCTGAAGGACCTGAGACATTATAAATGAAATGTCTCAGCAAGGAGAGACAAAAAGCCAGGGTGTCCCAAGGATGTTTTTTCTTGGGAACAGAGATGGCACACAAAAAAAAGTATTATTTTCAGAACACTTTTACACTTTTGTTTTCCTCCACAGTGGATCACACTCAACAAAATAAATACGAAAAATTATTGCCTTAAAAAGAAGCCCCAAACCTTATTCCAGTAAATTAATTCACTAATACCTATCAATAAATAAATGGATACTCATGAAAAAAACAGGCGATTTCTATAATGATTCATAAGCATTACAGAAGTTAAAGGTATAAAACATTATGCAACCACTTGAAATGTTGTCTTAACAGTTTCAACCAGCACATCTGGTCCACACATTTCCAGTATAAAAACCGAACACTTCTGGGTCCCCTGGTATGCAGTGTTGTGTTGACAAAAGCCAAGAGCCCACCTTAAGAGAGCATCACCATTATCTGTAATCTATTCATGGTACAATAGGCAAGAGTATGGTGAACATTTCTTGGTATGTGAGAGGCAACACATCTGTTTGAGAACAGGGATGTGACATACTTGTCACATTTTAACATGGTTTCAACAAACGTATTTATGTTGCATAGATACTCCCACCTAACACTCACATAACCTGCAATCTTGCACCTCTGGGGTTGCTGTCTAAAAAAAATATTTCCAACTGTACTGCACCTAATGGGGGAGGGGGGAACCAACCACCCTGTCCTTCATATCAAGAACAGAGGCAGCTTGGCACAGCTGTCCAGGCTTTCTCCAGAAGACAGTGATTCAGCATGATAGGTATGGACAGGACAAGTCAACAGAAAGAATATAAAAATGCTGCTATATGAACATTTAACTGGTTGTAATTGTGTCAGATGAAGCTATCAGAACCTGACTACTGTTACAATAGTTCTGGATCCTACACACCCAGATTCAAAGAAATACCGTAACCCCAGGCTGTAATCGTGTTAGAATGAAGCAAGTCTTAACTATGATTTTAAACAACCAGATGCATAGGTCACGTTTAACAAGCTGAATTATTAAGTGATTGGAAATCAGCAGGCTTTCCAGCATGCTCTTAAGTATCTAATCACTTACTATTAGTTCTCTTGCATTGTTTGAAGAACTTAATTTATTAGGACAAATTGCGGTAAAGGTACAAATATTCAGCAAGTCTAAACACTATACATTAAAGTAGCACTAACGAGTACAAGTTTCCAGTAGATTAGCTTTAACATTTTCTACTTTTGGTCTTGCAATTTGTTCAAACAAATCAACAGTTTAAGCAATCCGAAATGACTAACAACTTACTATGAGCAAAGCTTTCCAGCTTACTGGAAAACATGCCTATTTCCAAAACATACTATGGGATTCCAAGGCTTTAATTAAGATCTGCTGAAGACAAAGACATCCTTTTAATTTCTCAAGACCCCCTGTTATGTAAGAAGTTAAACGAACAGATCTCCACCCCTTTGAACTCAGTCAGATGCTGTGTTCCCAGGAATGCCAATCTTAAAAGCAGACTGCTTTGTGTATAACCACAAATTCCAATAGCCCAGGTCTGCTATCACAGATGTCGACGCTGCCACTATCAAACAGTTAAACATCAAAACCTTTGAAATCAAAATAAAATGATCTGTAATTGGAGCAAATTACTCAGTTTACTCAAAAACTAAAAAATTCTTCCAAATGTTACCTATGCTATTCTCTTAACTGACAACTCAGATCTAATGAATATATTTTAAGATACTTTAGTTGCAAAGGATTCTTCTCTCCCCAAATACTAAAATGACACTCGTGATGTGCTCCAAAGCAGGGATCTTAATATTTCACAGCATTTTGACTGCTAGACCCATTTTAGTTTTACACAGGTGTATCTCCTTTGAAATGTTTTACTTGTTCTTCTGAGAAGTCTAACGTTAGTCTTCTAAACCCATCCCAGGAGACTGCTACCAAGAAAGGCCACGAAGAAATAGATCAAGGTGAATTCTATTCCATCCGAACCGGAAACCTGAGACCAACAGCCAAAAGAAAGGGCGGCAGCACCCTCCCACTCCCTCGCCGCTGTCAACTCCTGCAATCGCCAAGGATCTCCTCTGCGCAGAGGAAAACCCCCGCAAAGAACGAGGCGTGGAGGGGCCGGAGCCCGAGCGGGGAAGCCGGCGGCCGCCGGCCAGGGGAGCGCACGCCCGCTCCTGCCGCTCCGCCCGCGCCACGGCCGCTGCTTCCCCCCAGCCCCACGGGCAGCTCCCGCGCCCGGCCCGGCCTCCCCGCCTGCAAACCGCGCCGACCGCGCGTAATTTCCACGCCCGGGCGAGCGCCCCACGCCTCCGCGCGGAGCCGGGCAGCCCTCCCGCGGCCACGCCGCTCCCGCCCCCACCTGTGGGCAGCCCGGCAGGAGCCCGGCGCCCGCACGGCGGGTACACGCACACGCGATGGCACCTCTCCCCACGCGCGGGCGGGCCGCCGCCCACGGACACTCAGGCGGCCTCCGCCCCGCCGGGGGTCGCGGCCGCCGCCTCCCCGCCTCCCCCGCTGCGCCGGGCAGCCATGTTCGCCGGGCCCGGGCCCGGGCGGCGCCAGGCCGCGGGTCAGGGGGGCCGCTCACCCTTGACGGCGCGCTCGCTGGTAGCGTGGGGCGGCAGCAGCAGCACCTTGCTCCCCTCCTTGGCGGACATCGCTGGGCGCTGCCGGGCTCCGGCGGCGGCGGCGGCTGCTGGGCGCGGCGACGCCTTCGTCCGCCTCCTCCGCCGGCGAGCTGGCGGGGAGCGGGGCGCGGCGGCCGGCGGCGCGGCGGGGCGGGGGCGGCTAGAGGCCCCGGGCGGCGGCGGCCCAGCGGAACATGGCGGCAGGCGCGGCTCCCAGCTCCTCGCGCAGCGAAGGGACAGTCCGCCTCGGGCCCGGCATGCACCGCGCCGCCACCCCACGAGGGGACTACGGGAGCGTGGCGAAACTCCTGGCTCCGCCGCGCCGCCAGCGCGGCCGTTAGGGAGCGTGGCGAAACTCCGCTCTCCCCGGGGCGGCGCCTCTGCCGCGGGGCGCGGGGAGGGGCGGAGGCTGCGGCCCGGCGCCTCCGGTCTCTCCCGCCCCCCGCCCCGGGCCAGGCGAGCGAGGAGCCGGGAGCGCCCCCGCCGCGGCGCGTCTCCCCGCCCCCGGGACGGGCGGGCGGCAGGCCGGCACCGGGAGGGGGAAGGGAGGCGGCGCGGCGGGCGGCCCGGCCCGTCCCCCGGCGGCCCCTCAACGGGCGAGGGCCGGCGGCCACCATGGAGAGCTCCCGCGGGGCCGCCCCCTCCGCTCCTCCGGCCGCGGCAGGGCCGGGCCCCGCCGGGGGCAGCGCGGCGGGGGGAGCCATTTTGTCAGGCGGCAACGGCTGAGGGCGGCGGAGCGGCCGCCCTGGGCGCCCGGGCTGAAGGGAGCTCCCCGGGGCACCCCCGCGGAGGGAGGGGCCGCGTCCATGCTCTCCCCGGGGCGCCTCCCGCCTCCACCACCCGGGGACGAGGCGGCACCGCCTCACCTCTGCGTTGAGGCCTTCGGTGCAGGGCCAGCCTAACACAAGAGATGGAAGAGGAGGAGGAGGATCAAGTTCCCCTCAAGGGCGTACCCTGGCCTGGCTTACTGGAAGCTCCCAGCACCAGATAGTTCGGCCAAACTTCTCTGCTCACCCGGAGAGCTGCACAACCATGGACGATGGAGGCAGCCAGGAGCATTGAGGGCTCTGCGTGCTGCAGCATGGGCTGCCCTGTCCCAGTCCCTGACACCCCTCAGAGCTGCACGGGGAGGTACCCGCACTGCACCGCTGGCCTGATCTTTGCAAATGCAGCAGGCCACAGCCCTTCCACTATATACAAACCGTGCAAATTTTGTGTAGAGCAATGAGTCCAACCAGAGGCGGGGCATAAGATTGGGTTTGGCCTTGGCATAAACAGTGGTACAGCTGTACTAAATCTGAGGTAATCTGGTCATCCCTGATGACTACTCCCTATTAAATTAATTTTGCTAATGAAAAAAGCTAAGTAGTTCCTGCGCTCATCTGTACCAGGCTGTTAATTTCATCCCTCTCCTCCCTTTTAGTGTATCCTGTTGTACCAGTGCAGGTTGGCTAAAGGACTGCACCATACCCTAGATCACAGAAATTAGCTAGGTTTAAAAGACGAAACCAAAAGACACCTCAAAAAAAAGACACCAACCCAAAAATCTCTGAATCCCTTAAACATCTGCCAACAAACCCAGTCAGATCTAGCAAACATCTAAACATACACATAAAACAGTATTTAATCAAATGCAGTATGTCTAAAGAGTTGCTGCTTTGCATCTCAGCTAATAACACAGCTCTTATGCATTATATGTACTGAGCTGTGCAAACCAGTTCACACAATAAATCAGGAATTTAAGAAAGAAAAGCTATTCAGAGGTAATATTTTCCAGCAAGGTCTTGGTTCTTGCCCCATTCAGGTTCAAGGGAAAAGCATGACATCTCAGGTGAGTGCCTGCCATCTTGAGCATGAAAAGCCGTTTGCCTCAAGCAAAAATACAGTAAAACTGATGAGTTACACAAGAGCTTGGGTTGACCTTGTGTTTTTATTACATAACCAAGACAGTCCAAGCAGGAAACTGAATGAAACATCACTGTAAAGATACTCAGAAGCAACTGAAAGTTTTAAGGGAATCAGAATTATAAACCCTTAGGTTATTTATTAATGACACTTGTAAGACTCCAAAGTTTTGGAAAAACAGAATTCTCTTAATTCCATATCCACAAGTAAAATGGGTGTTTGCACACAAAAAGAGAGCTGAGATACCATGGGCTACCATGGTAGAAATCCTGGGTGACTATTTTGGATTTAATAGCTAAGCTTTCCAGTAGCAGGAATTACTTACTACTTTATACCACATGTTCTGCAAATGTCTGTCATTGTACAACCAATTTAAAGGGCCTGTTTTTAAAATAGAACAAAAGCTCATTTGCTTCAATAGCATGCATCTGTATGCATTCAGAATATGCAGTGAGGGCATGGGATAGGGAGAGCAGTAAATAAAGGTTGCTCCTATTGACTTGGCATTAGCTTAAAGTTGATCTGCTTGAACAAGGAGCAGAGGGAATGTATTCAGTCTCTTATTTAGAATCAAGTGAAGCTCAGTAATAAATGCAGTTTGGATGTTTGACAGCATGAAACTGCAGAGAGATTCTCATATTCTAAAGAAAGTAATTTGTCCATACATTTCCAAACACACAGGGAACCTGAGACCTGCTGAGTGTTGTCAGGAATCACCTCTTCACCTCACCTGAAGTGCAGTTGCAAGAGAGGTGTCTCTTACTTCCTTCAATTGCTCACTTCTCTCATGAGCCCACAGCCGACATGCATCTTGTCTCCTGGGGTATGAAGTAAAAGGGGCTGACGCAGTCAGAACTCTGGCTGAGGAAAAAGCATAGCATAATTTTACTTTGCTATGATGCTGTGCCAGCAGGAGACATTATCAGCTTCTAGGCAGCATACCCAGTGCCCTGCATGCTGAAACACTTCCAGTCATATCTAGGCATCACCTAAAGAAAAGGCTCACAGATGAAATCTTGTGAGGTTCTGCCCTTCTCCCTGCCCCCCCCCCCATATTATGTTGATGTGATAAATGGTGTTATGTCTCCGTATAAACCAGACCTCCTTAAAACATGAAAAATAATTTGAATTACCATTTTTTAAAACAGCTGACCATTTTTAACAACAACTAGAAAGAGAAGTTAGCTAGCACAGTTACCTTGGGGTTTTATTGTTGTCATTTTTCTAACATACTCCATCTTGCCTCATTAAAATACAGAGCATGTGCCTTTGTCATTAGGACAATACCAAAACCTACATTAGGGAGAGAATTACAGAACTCTAAGCCCTTTAGCTTGTCACTGAAGCTTTTTCATGTAGTATTGTCTGTCAGTCTGCTAGAGACTCTGGAAGGGGCATTCACATTGCCCCAGCTCACTTCACGGTAAAGGCAAAGCCAATTGATTTGATACATCTTGTGTTCAAGGAATCAAACAATTTCTACAAGCACAACAAGCAGCGTTATGGTTGTTACAAACAGAAATGTGGCTTTTCAGGTACAAGTCAGTGTACCTTTATAATCCTGACAGTTGCCCACAAATCTTGCACAAATGCCAGACAAATTGAAGTATTTCTGAAAAGCAGATTCACATTTTACTTCCTGGTTCAGCTTTGCCACCAAGCGGCCATTCCATTCCACACATTTTAATACCTAATTTATCAAAAAAAAAAAAAAAAAAAAAATAGCTGATGCCTATGATGCCTATTCTGACTGGATATTCCAAGCCATTAGCTAGCACTGGGCTGCCTTCCAAACAATTGCTTTCGTAATGGAGAAACAATTCAGCAAGAGAAGCACATGGAATAATCAAGCCAATACATCTTACTTGGTACTACAGGGAATGGAGCCATTTGGGATGCAGATGATCCCTGTCTTCCCCCTGCTCCATCTCAAAGCAGTACACACTGAAGCTGCATGCAAAAGATGTTTAAACAAAAAGGTGTTATATTAAAACCCAGACTTTCCTGATGATTTCCTTAAGTACTGCAAAGTATAGTAGCAACTATATTTTAGTAAATCATCGCCTCAGACAACAAGTGCCATTTATTGAAGTTGAGACAGAAGTTAGATGTAAAAACGTCTATGTGAAATTCTGTACCCATCTCATGCAGGTCAGATGATCAGAACAGTCCCTTCTGAATAACAGTGACAGATCTTTAAAACTGGCACATTACAATGTCCCAGAATCATCTAATTACCCAGCAAGAACTTTTTGAAAACTCTAAGAAAGAAATTGAATCACAGGAGAGATAGATATGTTCCAGATCCCAAGAGAAAGATGCATAGAGCAAATCTTGCAGAGATAAACCAGGTCTGAGAGGGAGAGACATGCTATAAGCAGGAGAACAAGATAAGGAAGACAAAACTTTTAAGAGGTTGTTCCATTTCATTGACTCTCACTAGTGACTGCTTGAAACCATCCTTTCTGAATTGCCAGAAATGGTACTGCGGTTGATATAAACTGTAAGTCTGTCTCAGAACAAGCCATATATTATTTTAAATACATTTTGATGTATTGTTGTACTGAGTTTCAATATGAATACCTGAAAGATTTCTTTTAAGAGGACACAAGATTTCCCTGCTGTCCCGAGACAGTTTTTTATGGCAAACCTTATTATCCATGAGGGCACCATTCAGAAAGGTTTAAAGGACAGTCTTAAGCCATTTTTTCCAGCACCACAAAATCACTATCACTGCAATACTGTAGCTGCCAATGTCATCCAGTACTGAGAAGTTGCACCGACTTAAAAAAGAAAAAAAGACAAACAAAACCAAATTATCAGATAGTTGCTGGTATAAATTACAAGCTACTTTACTGTTACACTCCCTTCCTGCACATATTTCCTTCATTCCCCGATAAACTCTATGGACAGGCTGTGGAAGTACAGGCTACATTTAAAAGGCCAGTCAAGGCCACAGTCATCCATTGCATCACATCACAACTGTAAAAAACAGGCTAAGGCAACCCAGCTTGTGCCACTTAGCCTGACTCTAGAATTTTAGGTGATTTTTTCACACCAAAAACCTACCAGCCATGTCTCTAATTTCAATCTCACACCTCTGGAGTAACAGTACCTCAAACTCTTCCTTAGGTTCCTCAAAATATCACTCGCTCTGCTTAAAGCATTCCTTCCCCCGCCCCTATTATCTAGTTCAAACTTTTCCTTCCTTAGCCTTAAGCAATTGCTCTTTCTCCTGCCATCTGAGACCAAGCAATTCCCTCTCTTCATTTATCTTACTACCTTGATGATATTAATAGACTATGATCCAGTCACCTCTACTCACTCTAAAAAATGAGTTCACTCTGCTTTTTGCTGCCCTCCTTTGTGTTCTCTCTAGTTTTCTCAGAGCCTCCACAAGCAAGAGACTTAACTGACAAAGTATTCAAGGTAAGCAGGTTGACGTGTAGGGTCTTATTAAAAAACAACAATCTTCTTCCTCTATAACAGGAACTATGATGTACAACTGTGATTTTGATTTTATTTATTTGTAAACTTTGATGAAGCATGTTGATCCATGAACACGTT